TTTGACACAAGTTGTCTAATTTTCAATTTAAATGCAAAAATGATTTTAATGCCTAACTGACGATACTATATTAATCTTGGGCTAAGAGTGCACATTGTCCATGCCTAGTTTGAATTTTCTTTTCTGTTTTCCATGGCTTTTCAATTTGTAGTAAGAAGCCCTTGAATGTATGAGAGGGGCTTTTTTCAAAACTTGCTCAGAGGCCACTACTAGCCCTTAAAATTGGCTACATAATGTGATTAAGTTCATTTAAGGTCTTTCTGGCAGCAGAATAAAGAGTTATGTAGAAGTTCAATGAGCTCTGTGTGAATGAATGAAACAGCTCATTTACAGGTTGCGTTTCCTGAGGAATCAATTTGTTTGCTACTTTTCTGCATTGTAAAGTAAGTGGAGAGTTAGGGAAATGATGTCATCAGGCTGTATGCTTTTGCACACATAGCCATCTGTTAGTAACAGTCAAGAGAAACGGCTTGATTTTTTTTAAGGAGACCTGCACTGATCTGTGGTACATTTGTGGGCAGTAGTGTGCTGGACATTAGGGAATGTGGCAATGTATCTGAAATCCAACCTCAGTAGCACCAACAGGTAAACAATCAGGCTTGAGGACAATTTTCATTGTTGGGCTTTACAGTACAAGGTTAGATTGAAAATGGAAGGTATGCTGGCATGCATACTGTTTTTATAAAAGCAATCTTTTGTGTATTTGTACTAAAAAAGAGACTGGTGTAAAAGATCACCAGTTTTCTTTCCTGAATAGGTTGTCCGTAGGGAGCTTCACTGAGGATTCAATCATCGAACTCTAAAACACTGGAAACTGTAGGTCAGTTACACTTTGTGCTGGAGGCTAAACCCTGGAATGTTCTGACATCTAAATGGTGCCAGTCTTTTACCTGTACGTTCATATTCCTGTGTACCCTGTGGTTTTTACAGTACAACATTTGAGCGACTGGCTTACAAAGCTCAACTAATTATAAAGGTATATATCGGTGTGCAAATTTCTTGAACTAGAAGATTTACTGGATGCAGTGGTTTTTCTAGCCTTTTGGAAATTCAAATGGCTAAAATGTAATAGGTAGTTTTAACATCACTGAGTTGGTATACTCTGCCTGGCTCTGTAGTGTCTTAAAACTGGGTAAATTACATACACACTTGGCATCGAGACAAAATAGCTTCATTCCATATTTTGGACTTTAAAAAGCCTTTCTTTTAAGATTCTGTTGAAGAAAACATAGAAACATGCTTACTCTAGCAATTACACATGCATTTAAAATAAACAAAATCTTTGAAAATTAATTAAATTTTGCATATCACTTTGGCAAGGGAGGAAATATAACATATTTTCTGCTAGTCTTATATTTCAGAACTCTACCCTTGATTTTACACATATAGTTTTTTTTGTTCCGTTACATAGAAAAAACATCTTTCTTTTTTTTTGATATGTCACTGCACGAAAAGAGCAACAGACAACAAAATGAACCCACAAGTCAAAAAGAGAAGCAAATAAAAAACAAAAAAATAAATTGCATAATTCAGTTCACATTGACAAATAGAAAAGCAGACGGTGGAGAGTAGTGGACTGCTGGAAGAACTGAGGCCTGCTTTTACTTTTGGAACGTGATGGACCCACTGACTGGCTGCAAGTCGCTAATGAACTCTGGATAAATGTAAACCGAAGAAAACCAGGACACGTTTATGGCCTTCCACATCCTCACACTGCGTGCATGTTTGTGTTTCTGACCTGAATGAAACCAGACATAACGACAGAATCCAAGAGCTCTAAACTGAGCTCAAACTCCTCTTCCTACTTTTGCATTTGCTTGTTTTCGTAGCAGAATGAGTGTATGTTGAACATGCGTGCACGCCATTCAGTAAAAATAGTCCTCACACCAGCACTGACCTGTGCTCTGCAGGGATTAGATCAGCGCTGTACTGTGCAGTGACTCTTCAGCCAGAGCTGCATATAGTACAGGACATTGGCTTGGCTTTTAAGCTCAAGGTCAGCATTTAAGCTTTCACTAGAAGTACACGCTCACAGTAAGTGAAGGCCAAGAGGTTGCTCAACCCTTAGGCATTCTGGCATGGCCTGTCAGCACATTTGTCCCTCCTAGTCCACGTAGTAAACTTCGCTCATCGGCATCCTCAGAAGAGACTAAATCTGGGGATAATCACCTGTAAGAATCACAGAGATTATAAAAGTAAGAGTGAATGTAAAAATAGATCTGCTGCTTAAGCTCAAAGGCCAACTGCAGATCTAGGGCCATTATTTAGCATCATGTCATATCCAGAGTATTTCCACTATAGCTTCAATATCATTTTGTGGCACTGATTTTTCTTTTTAAAATGATCAGTGATCATTTATATGTACTCTGCATGGTTTTTATGACTTAACATAAAATATAAGTTAAAGGCTGACTGTTTAGAAAATACACAAGATTAAGAAACGTTGCTGTAATAAATGAAAGAAATCTATCAGCACGACTCTTTTCGGGTTAAATTGTAAGAAATAAATGCGTCAGTAGCTGTAGCTCATTAACTCTCTCATAATTATAATTCTGAAAGTTTATCCAAGTCACAAGTTTCTTGTTTCTTGTCTATAGTAGAAAAAACAGGAACTTTTCTGTGATTAAATTTTTTATGCATTACTGAAATACTTTCTTGTAGCATGAAGGGCCCATGAAGGTAAAGCTGTAAAACTAATAAAATGCTGTTAAAAGTCCAAAATGTATGCCTTCCTTAAGGATTTCCAAAGCTGTGCAGTGGGGCCGGATTGGAGTCTTTGCCAGTTCTGGCCCCTGGGTCATATGTATGTCATATGAAGCATGTCTCCACTTTGCAGCTATCTTTTAATGCCTTATTTGAGGGTTTATGTCAATCACCTCTAATTCCAGTTGTCACCAGGACATAAAAACAGACTTTACCCCATTACAAACAAAGCTTTTTTGGCTGTTAGTTATTCTGCCATCTTCTCTTCTCTCATTTTCTGGATGGGGATGAATGCATGTAGCTGTGTGTTTCTTACAGCTTATCTGCCATTTGGTATGTATTTAAAGGATCATATAAGCAAAGTGAGAAAGTTGCATTAGTGCAAGGATGGCCCCTTTTAGAACCAAAGCCCAAATGTCTCAAAGAGAAGCCACTGCACTATAGAGCTGCGTGGGGGTGATCAGTTTGCAGATGCTCACTTGATACTCCTAAATGGCTAAAGCACAGAGTGTTGGTCTGTAACAATTACCTGTAAACTGATTATGGCCTCTGCAAAAAGACTTAAACAGACAAATTGTGAGTTTGGCATAAACTGCTATGTGCTTGTGCCCTTGTCTCAGTCACCTGGGCCTCCTCCCCGCAGAGTTACAGGAGGAAATCATGCTGGTGGAACGAAAGTATACCCAACTGTCTCTATATCTGGTTCAGTAGGCACACAGTGTGTTCCCTCCATCTTTTGCATCATAAACTCGTGCATGTCTATATGTGTCCAGAAATACAATCTTTTTCCCAGCGTGACTTCCTTCAGTCTGCCACTCTTTCACTCGTCTGCAGTAATCAAGGTGCAACACTCTCTGTCATCTTTATCTTTTTCTGTTTCTTGCACATCGTTCTCTTTTCTCTCACCATGCATGCATGCTGAAATCCAGTCAGGAAAGAAATGCAAAACGAAAGCCACTGAAATTAAAAAAACAAACAACCTACAACTGTCCCTAGAGAGCAACTACGATCAGTTACACAGCTTGATCGTTCAAGAAACACCGCATTGTGTAAACATGCCTTTGTCTAATGGCTCATAGGCCTTAATTACCTGAAGCTGCGCAGCTGATTTTTGAAGAAAATCAAGGCTCTATAAAACACATAAAGGTGCATTTTAATAAGTAACAAGAAGTGTTACTCTAAAGAGCTGCAAAAGAAGTTTGAAAAAATCAGCTGCACATCCTCAAGCATTTTTTATATCAAAGCTCACAAATCTCTCCCCTCCCTACACCGTGCATGTCATTAATCAGGACCTACAGTGACAAATGCTTCAAACTCAACTAAAATGAAAAGAAAAGACAGACAGTTTATACATAAAAAGTACAGCAACAAGATTTCCCAATCAACCCGCCCCATAAAGATAAATAAATCTATTTGGATATACTCTAAATGGATAAATAATATTACCATGATATACTCTATGTAACGTTTCAGCAATAATTAAATATCTCAAGGATGGCACCATCGCTTTCTCAAAAGAAGAAAAATCATTATTCATTGTGATGTGTTTTATAAAATCTGTTTAAAGTTGTAGTAAAGCGATCTCTTCTCAAGCTCTTTCGTTATCTTTCGCTCTTCTCTTTTTGTTTCATCTCATAGCACACGAAAAAGCTGGAGGGAGTGGAGTTTGTGCTTTAGCAGAGACTGACGCTGTCTGGCCGATCATCCGTTTGTTCATTAGTTCCTCTCAGATGTTTACGCAGCAGGAGAGCAGCGAAGGTCACTGCTGTCGTTTGAAAAACCCCTCGGGTCTGTACAGCTGTACAGGTCTGTACAGTGGAGCAGAGCAAGAGTAAGGGATAGGGCAGAGAAGGAGAGGGGGGGGAGTGTTTATTGTACTCACTGTGTTTGTGTTAAAATCAACTTTTGCCAAGAGACTAAACATAAACATCGTCAGTCTTGCTCTCTTGGTTTTGGCTTGTAACGGTGTTCCAGCAGAGGCATGACACGCTGTTGGGAGGCAGCGCTTTCTCTCTTGGCGTCGATCTACCTCAAAATCTCAGGCAGGCAAAGAGAGGAAGCAAAAGAAAAACGTTCTGTCTTCATCCCCCCCCCCCTTCCTTGGTTCATATGTCTTCCCAAAGCGTGACGTCTCCCTCCTGTTCTCCCTCACTCTCAAACTTGCCTTCATTCCCCAGAGTCTGTCACGGCTTTGACAGTTCTTCCGTTCCTCTTTTTAATAATGTTGCTGCTGCTCATCCTCCCTGTCCCATCCCCTATCCTGCCCCCCTCCCATTTTTTTTTTCACTGAGGCTGACACAGTCCAGAAGAAAAGCACCATGGGATGCATCACACAACCATGTCGCCTTCGAATATCCCCAGAGAACACAAAACAGCCTCTCATCTGTTTTCCTCCCTCTTGCCCTCTTACTCTCATCTCTAGATCAGCCCCGTGAGGATTTTATTCTCCGCATAAGAAACGAGAAGCAGAGAAGGTCGTTAGTTAAAAAAGACAGAAGTATAAAATGGCAGTTGGACTATCTCCTTATGAGATCAGCGTGTCTTTATTATGTATGTTTGCGAAACGAAATTTATTGTCCTCTTTGATGCTCTCTAATTTTCTTCCTTCTCAAGCCTCTGCTGACTTTCAGCGCCGCAGAGCCCGAGGTTTGGTCTTTTTTTTACATTCTGTTTCATTCTGTCATAGAGGAGAGGTCATCTTGTTTGACCTCCACACCATCTTCATTAAATTAAAATCAGAATTCGTTCATTCTCTCTGTTGCACATTCATCCCGCTCCCCCTCTGTTATCTGTCTTCATCGTCAGACGTAGGCCGATTCGCTGGACTGTGTGCGTCCCAGGTTGGGTGGCTGAGACAGATGCGCCATGTCCTTCTTCCTGATTTCACAGATAGACTTCCTGCGGGCCTGGACGCCCCTGATGGCGGCCTTGATCTTGCGCCAGCCGAGATGATTGAGCTCGGCCAGATTGAGCACCACGCAAATGCCGCTCACGGCAAACATGAAGACCAGGAAAACCGTTTTTTCTGTGGGCCGGGACACGTAGCACTCCACCTCCTTGAGACACGGGTAGCGGTCGCACTCGAAAATCCCAGGCACGCTGAAGCCATAAAGGAAGTACTGGCCCGCTAAGAAGCCAATCTCTAGGGCGTTTCTGAACACCACCTGAATGATGTAAAAGCGGGAGATCCCTTCTTGACGCCGAACCTTGGAGCTCTTCCCGTGCGTGAGGCCCCGTGGGGCATTGGGGATCTCCTTCACCTCCAGACAGTCAGGTTCTTCCTTCCCTCCTCCACTATCCCCTCCGTGCTGAACTAGAATTCCATTTATGTTGCGGAGCTTCCGAGCCCCATCCCTTCCGCCGTAGTCCCTCTCCATTATTGGATAGAGAAAAGAGTAGCGCCGGTCTCTCTGCTTGGCTGACTGATGGACAGAGTAGGTGATAAAGCAGAGGCTGGGTGTGCACACCAGTATGATCTGGAAGACCCAGTAGCGGATGTGGGAAATGGGGAAGGCTTTGTCATAGCAAGCTTGGTTGCAGCCCGGCTGTAAAGTATTACAGATGAACATGGTCTGCTCATCCTCATACACCGTCTCTCCGACGATGGCCACGATCAGAATACGGAAGATGACAACGACAGTCAGCAAGATCCTAAAAGACAAACAATACAGAGAAAAATGGGGTTAATACAATATTTTCTTTTGGAGAATGCACTGAATAACAATACTGTGCATTTTATCTCACCAGTTGTGTTCATCTACAAGAAAACGTCCCTATCAGAAAGGTGATAGAGGTGATGAGGGGATGACATGTCCTCTCCCTAAAATACATCAGCATCTCTAGCTGGGTTATGGTAACCTTATTCCCTCCACCAGAAGTTATTTGTTTAATGAAATTATGTCCAGTCCTTTGAACAAAATGCTAGCAGGAAGTCAAAGTAACATTAGAGAGAAAACAGATGGCAGCTCACAGAGCTATTGTGACTGACTGGTACCATCATGTTTCTCTTTACTCTCATGTTAGGTGCATGGATACATTTTGCTGTACCATTTCACCCCGATATGAGCAAACTGATAAGAAGAATGTAGCTATATTTATTTTCTGGTCTTAATTAAGGGTTAGCTATCAGGGCTCTTTACTATAGAACCAGCTCCCAGTTTGGATTTGGACTTCTTTTATGATAAATCTTCCCATACTGCTTCTCATGGTGATTGAACAATTCAATCAACTCTTTTCACTCCCTTGTGTTTATACACCAGTGTTATATTTCATCGTTAGTTATGGAAAAAACTCTTTCTCCCATAGTGTGTCTTTTGTCATATCTTCCTCCCCTCAACCTGAACCAGTCGTGGCAGATGGCTGCCCCTCCTCTGAGGTTTCTTCCCCTTAAAAGGGAGTTTTTCCTTCTCACTGTCACCAAGTGCTTGCTCATAGGAGTTGTATGATTATTGGGGTTACCTTCCAATATTGTAGGGCCTTTGCCTAAAAAGTATAAAGCACCTTAAGAGGACTGTTAGTGTGAATTGGTGATATATAAATATGACTGAATTGAACTGAAGGGTTCAGAACTGTCAATAGCTGACTCATTATTGGGAAAACAAAGCTATAAAGACCAAAGGGCAATAGAAATGACCTTGTTAAGGCTACAAAGTTAAGCAAGGTGACTTGACGCTGAAATCAAAGCACGTGCTTTAAGGACGAAAGCCGAAAAGAAAAGGGAAAACCTGTATTAACGAGAGAGAGAGAGAGAGAGAGAGAGACAGAGGCATTGTGTCACTGTTAAGTCACTGTTCCTCCGGATAAGAACCAGAGAAGAAGAGTGCTCCAAATGTCATTTATCAGCCAGAGTAAACACTCCAGAAGAAAAACATTTATGTGCAGAGCATTGCTAACGCTACTCGTCAGTCCTCATAAGTCAACCTGCTACCTGTATCTTACAAACAGAGTATGTGTGTTTTGTGAAGAAGGGAAGCAGTGATGACATATCCACATCTAAATTTAGTCTCTTTTTTTTGCATCTTTAGGCCCAGCTAGCATAGCAACCACAGTTTAGACTCACTTAAGTTGGAAATGTGATTGATCTTGGTAATATCCAAGCACCATGTCTGTGTTGTTGGCTTTCTTGTTAACAATACACGCTCTCTCCTTTTAGTTCCATAGCAACAGGTGAGAAGGAGGTGAGCTTTGTTTGCAGATTTGGTGCTATTCCTGTGTGTGGTGTGGTGAGACAGAGATTATTGCTCCTGAAATGGGTTCACATCAACTCAGCCTCCGTGTAGGTGTGCCTCGTTATTCGCGTCTATCCGGGCATTTGCTTGCATGTGATGACTTGGCATATCTGTACACTTTGTGAGTCTGTGTGCCTCCATTATGTTAGACACACATATTAGGTAAACTGGATTCTTATATTCCTCTCTACTTTCTTTCTTGCCAACATCTTTTTCTTTGTTCTGTTCTTACTTTAGGCATCCTTCATTTATTTTTCAGATCTTAGACCGAGCAAGCACTTTAGATAGCAAGCTTTTTGCACGCTCCATGAGCCGATGGCTGTCTGGCACTGTATTCTGCGACTATACTTGTCTAAAACAAGATTGTGCACCGCAGACAGGCTCAGCAATATTGTTAGTGTGTTGATCGATTGTTGCATTACTGTTCAATCCCTTAAATACGAGGTTTGAATTCTGTGCTCTCACCAATCACCAATGTTTAGATAAATGAAAGTGTCATAAATAAGAATCGCTGTCGTTGTTTCACATGAACCCAGAGGACACGCCATTCACTGGCTCATCAAAACCTGACCTCATTACATTTATCATGGACTTATGGGTTTTGTGCATGTGCGAGTCATTAGATTTTGACATATAAAAATAGCCATGGAGTTAGTGCTAACAGGCATTACAGTATGATGAATGAAGAGAAGCTCATTCTTGAAAAAGAGCTTCACAACAGACAGTTGGAGTGTTTTGGGTGTATTTTAGACAGCAGTAGTGAATGATACACTTCCCAATTTTACATGTTAGTGTTATTTTTGCAGTTGTGTTTGCATTCATTTAAATATGTTGGTAATATTGCATATATTACATAATGCAAGCCACTAAAAAGGGGCAAGACTTGAGGCTCCTAGGTGCTGCTCCTTGATCAGAAGAATCCTTTTTAAGCTAAAAACATTATGTATATATACTTTAACGGGTGTCTGACACAAGGAGCTATACCTGTTTGCTCTGTTTGGTCTCATCTCTGATAATGACTGTCACCAAACTGGATCTCTCCACTGTATTGTGCTTGGAGCATTTTCATAGAATTGCCTGACAAATAATGGGGCTTCCTGTGTGGTACAGCTTGTCATTTTGCAAGTAAAACTTTAGTATTTTTTTATTAGCCTGCACTAATTACCAGATTTGTGTCTGCGTGTGGCAGCCTTACACTTTAAGAATGCAGCTTACTAGTACTTGCTTAGCACTCAACCCTCTTGTCCGATTATTATCCCAGAATGCATCCAAAACCATCAGATGATGCGATGGTGGCTATATACGTCTTTGAGACACAGCCAGTGTTACTATAATACATCACTATTTGTTCATTGCTGATCCATTTATCAAATCAGTTTCTGTTTAACAGTAAAATCTAACTTTTGTGAAACAAAACAGTTCCAGCATTTCATCAACTCAGTATGTAAAAGGTAAAGTACAAAGCTTTCTCAGATTTATCATATCAATTAGAGGATTTGTTTATCTGGACACTGTTGGGACTGGACTGTGAATCCAGGGGGAGACCCATGGTGCTGCACCTGAGACCCTGCCAGATAATCATTAGATGGCATTTGGCTGTGTGAACAGTAATCTACCAATCGCACAGTGGCTTCGCCAGTCTTGCGTGGCGCAGATGTGGAGTTGAAGGGCAGAGTTAATCCTTTCCAGTCCAGCGGCATGCAGCTCACATGAAACTCCTATCAAAACGGCAGGTCACCAGTGATGGCTTCCAAAATGAAAAATAAAAGACTCACTGCCAATTGTTTCACCTGTGATCAGCAGCAGGGAGAGAGGAATGACGGAGCAAGGGGGAAAGGAATAGATGCAAAAAACCCCCAAAAATAATAAGTGATTCCATTAAGGAGCTTAGTAAGCAGGGAATTCACAATACAGTGGTGGAGAGTGTATAGCAGTAATTGTGCGCACACAAGCACACATATACTGTAGCAGAGGAACGTCCAAACGGGGACGGGAAACTGTTGAGTGAGTGCTAACAGAAGACATCAGCTTTCTGTTGAAGATGAATGAGTTCCAGACAGGGATAAAAGATTATAAAGTCACCAAAAACGCAGTGGCTCAGGCATCTTCAACTTAAATTAAAAGAGGTATGTGCCAGTAGTGTGACGGCGTGCGAGAGATAGAGAGGGGTTAGTAAAGAAAACCAGCGATGGAGGAAAATCTCATCGTAGAGAATGAATTATATAATAGCTTCCACACGCAAACCCAGTTCTGTAATCTGTGGCTGGGCCAAGGGAGGATTCTTGCATTAGGGGTCTTTTTGTTAATGCCATCGAATAGCTTTAGATTATCGTACCGCACAGAGCAAAGCCCACCTGTTTTTTTCCCTCTCCTTTTCAGAGCATTATTCTTTCTTTTCTTGGTTTTATTCACTCTTCATGCAGCTTTGGGCCCCCATTTATCTCCCTTGCACCACAACAGTAGTCGTCGGCCCCCCATGAGGAATAATCCGGAATAATCTTAAAATTGTGTCTGTAGTTTTCTATGTAAAGCCTTGTTTCACAAGTGATTCCCACAAAAAAAAGGACAAAAAATGAAATTCCACAGAGTAAACTTCCTTCTTATCTCATGTGGAGGAATGTGCAGATTCACAATAACATGCGCAATTAAAATGAAGCAAAGATTTTTACAAAAAAGTTGAAATCAGCTTCATTTACATGCTTTATCACTGAGTGTCTAGCCAGTGAGCATATTTATACACCGGGTAATTTATAAATATGCTTGAACGATATTACAGACACGTTTCTCAGCACACTCACACCCTCGGTTCCCAGCAGACAGTGTTTGTTGTTCCTTTTGACTAATTTATTGGTGATTATGCAAAAACATTACACCAACTCCAAAACGCCTCCTCTCCTCCAGCAACTGCGAGTCCCTGACCCGCCATCTTTTTTTTTCTCTTTCTCATTATCTGACAATAGAGCTCCAGCACTAAAGGGGTGGTTGTATGTTTTGAAAGCTCTCATTACAGGCATGCAGTTAATTGTAAAAAAAATTGATGTAATGTACAATAGCATGAAAAAAATTATAGCTCTGGCATGTGACTGGAGAAATCTTGTTCCATCTGTCTCTCCATATGTATGCAGACATACATGGACACAAACACACGC